TATATATATATATACTTTTTTAATAAAATAAATATTTTTATTACTCCAATTTTTAAAAAATAATATTTTAAAAAGCTGCACTGTATTTTTTCCTGCATGGGTATCCATTAGCAGAAGTGAACAAGAGTGTGTTTTTAACAGATTTGAATAAATGATACAAACAAAGAGGGAAATTTTGAAGTGACTAAACAGCCGTGTACTAATCAGTGGAATGAAGCACTGTGTGACATCTGACACTGCGTGTGGAAGCGGTGAATTATTCAGCGTGGAGCAGTGATATCCTGAATCTACAGTCAGATTACCTTCTCTGGTATACAAAAGTTTAGTAGGTTAAACAGAGCTGGATTTCACCAGTGTAGAAAACTGCAAATGAGTCGAGTCAGAGCTCCATGAAGCTGAATAAATCTGAATTCATGTTCAGATACATCGGGCCGACGTGGGCGTCCAGACACGAAGAGAGGCTAAAAAAGATGGAAGATCATTAGAGCGCCGGCGGGCGAGGTCCGCTGACCCGGAGAAGTCCCGAAGATCAGCACTGAGTGTGGCGGACGAGCGCTGGATGACCGAGTACATGCGCTGCTTCTCTGCTCGACTGAGGTAGAGGCTGATCCAGGACCAGTTAATGTCACTGGATTTGATACGAGGAGGCCGCAAGAAAAAGATCCCAAACCAGCACTACAGAAGAGTTTGATGCCACTGAACAACTGACAACAAAAACTGAACAAAAAGTTACACGCACTCCTTTAAATTCAATACGATATACCGAAGTTCTTTATGAAATATTAAAATACTTCATATTTTTTGATGCTGGTTACAATCGCTTTCTCATGAATGCATTTAAGGACCAAACATTGAACTACTACACCAAAACACATTTGGTATCACAAATACTTTGTTTTTAATTTGTTTCTAATTATTTATTGGCATTTAATGAACATTTTATTTCCAGATCTTCTGTCATGATTTTTAACATGGGCTGCAGGGATTTAATGATCAAATTACATTTTTGAGTGGACCAAGCATTTCATGTAAAGATGGGTGATTTGTTTCTGACTCGGATGATTGTTGATTCTGAACCTTCCAGAATGTTATTCTAGACGCTCCAGTCTGCCTGTCATTAAAATGTCAGCTGTAAAACTTACTGTTCTTTTGAATGTGGTTGACGATGTTTGGTTTGTTTTAATCGATCACATGGTGAATGAATTTGTGTTTGAGAGGCCGTGTTAGAAGTGCAGTGTTGTGCAGCTATATCCTTTTGCAAGTCGTGAAATGTTTTCTAAAAAAGTGTATTTTCCTCACCGATCACCAACAATCATCATTTAAATCCACTTTTTGCACAAAGATGTCAAGTAATTAATATTTTTAGATGGAAAAATAATTGAGGGCTAGTTGAAGGCTATCGTTTGATTCTTGTGTTATTTATTAGAGCACAGATTTGATATAAAAATACATATGTGCACACATATGTGCTTTTCTGTGATGTTTCAAATGCATCAGCACTGATCATAGACACTTTGAATGTGCCATGACACTTTACTTGAACCTTCATGGTTCGCTGGGAGACCTTTCCTCTGCTCTTTATCTTCATAACTGGTTGCCTGTTATCTGGACTTTTTTATTCAGTTATTCACTTATTTCATAAAAGGAAACTCATTCAGTTTCAAGCTACTGACACTGATGTTCTAGAATGAAGTATATGAAATATGCTAACTTGCGTTTACATTTTGACCACTGTATTTGTACATCCGAACATGCACAGGTAGATATATTTTCACCTGCAGAACAGAAGTACTCTTAATGCATTGCTATGAATAAACTATGTTTGAGTAACATCATGTCCCCTCGATATTATGTTCAGAAATCACAATATCATACAGCGCAATATATTAAACATCAGTATAATTTTTAAGGCATGAATAAACACATTTTGTGTTGTTTTGTTCAACACACAGATTTTGCTATTTTTAATGACATTTATATCCAGAGTATTTTTTAATCATTAATTTGTTTGTATATGTGTGTTTTGTTTGATGAAATAATACAGTGGGGTCCAGAAGTCTGAATCCATTAGTGATATTGCTATTTTTTTTTTTTTCATCTTTTAAAATTAGTTCATAATATCAGCATAATAGAGTGAAACGTGTAATTAAAACTAATTAGCATTAGAGATGCATGAGCAAAACCTGCTGATCATGTTCTCCAGCATGATTTCAGCTTTGAGCACCTTCAGAGTTCACATGATCACTGTGACCCTGGAGCACAAAAGCAGTCTTAAGTCGCTGGGGTATATTTGTAGCAATAGCCCAAAATACATTGTATGGGTCAAAATGATAGATTTTTCTTTTATGCCAAAAATCATTAGGATATTAAGTAAATATCATGTTCCATGGAGATATTT